AGCCCGGCTTAGAGCCGATCTGATCCATGGATCGGTACCACGTGATGGGCAGTCCTGTCTGCGTGAGGGCCGAGTGTCGGAAGTCCTTTTCGCTCTCATTCCGCTCAATGAGACTAACGGTGCCGCATATGTTCTGCTCCTGGATTTGCGTCAAATGTGGCGACAATTCAATCAAATGCAAAGAAGTCACGTCTTTTGAGTGCGAGAACTGCGACAGCACTCGGCCCACGTCTGCCGCCAACGTTCCCCTCCCGGGGCCCAACTCCACCACTCGTAACGGTTTGGGACACCCGTACCGCTGCCACTCATTCAACAGCCATACGGCGATCAACTGTACGTTAGGACCCGTGGTATGCATTGATCGATAGATAAGGGTTGACACCAATTGATACCATCAATAGTATGACAATCATTGCGGTGATAATCAACGGATCCAACGAATAGCAATCATACCATCAATGAGCACAGGGAGGGAACAGACGTGTAATAAGACAGAAGGGAGTCAATGGTTAGGCAATCATTTGATGGCAACGACACAAACCTCGCCGAAGATCTGCGATATCTCTGGCGATGTGGTGAAGTGTCCTTTGGCTCCGAAGACATCGTCCTTCATGTAGAAGCCGGAGATGGGATGCGTTAACACCATTTGCTGGTATTCCGCGACAGTCATGGGACCCGTCGCTGTGATCTTCTGCACCATTTCCCTCCTCAGCGACAGTTCCTTCTGTTTTATGTCAGCGGCGGTCGCGGTGTCTGTCTGACGACCGATTGGACTCTGTTTTGATGCCATAATCGACAGACATCTCTGCATCTGGTGTTGCGGTCGACGGCAACTGTGGTAAGCATTTGCGGTCAACAGTTGTCTCACAGTCTTTGTGGCAACGGATCCTATCCTGAGTTTAGTGGCCATAAGGAAGCTGTTCATGACTTATTCAGCGGTGATCTGTGGCCACCGTTGATGTGATTGTCGTCGCGATTGGTATGACTGGATCTGATGGCACACTTGTGGACCAAATCAAGTGATGTTTGTTTCACTGGTTTTTGTTTTCAAAACAATAAAAATGTTTTGTTTATGCAGTCATTCAGGGTTTTGAGCCATTTATATATAGCGTTACGTTTTATAACACAAATGAAACCCTTTGACTGCAAATGAAATTCATTATGAATAAGAAAGTACCATTTTAATTCAAATAATTTTTTTAATTAAAAAATAAATATTTAAAATTAATATATTTTTTATCAGGATAATTTAATTTTTAGTTTGATTAATTTTTACGTTAAATTTTTGAACACAAAAGGGACACCCCTTTCATAGTAATCCCCACTCATTACCTACTGTTGTATGTGTAGCCAATATACCCCAACCCATGTAATGTATACGTCATGTATGAGTGGAGTATAATGTTGTAAATAAAAGTTACGTGACTTTGAACACGTGATAAGCATTGCATACAATGCGTGCATATATTGTATGAAAATGAATCCTTTGCTACATATTTGCACAATTATAGCACATATTATCATTAGGGGTATAGATAACTGATCAGGTGAACATACACGCCATATAGCCGTGTCGAATATACGTCGCACCTGGATACAATGACTGGGATATACCTGATAGTGGTTGTCCCAAAGTGTCCCTAAATAGCCTTGAGCATATATTTTCCTTTAGCATGTATTCAGCGGTTGTAATATAATACAAACCAAATGACACTAATTATCGATACATTGAATATTATATACATATTAAGGAAAATATTGCTTATAATTAGTGGTGAATGAAAAGNATATATTTTCCTTTAGCATGTATTCAGCGGTTGTAATATAATACAAACCAAATGACACTAATTATCGATACATTGAATATTATATACATATTAAGGAAAATATTGCTTATAATTAGTGGTGAATGAAAAGTTGTGTTTAAAATGAATGCTTTGTTTTAATTAGAAATTAAATTATAATATATTTGTTTCAAATGTACCGAGAATATACCCCATTTCTTACAGTATAATATTATTAGACTAGATTTTTCCACATATTTTTCCAGTTTTAAACTTTTTGGCACAAATTGCTTTAAATTAAATTTAATATTTAGTTAACGTGGTATATTTATGATATAAAATATGATAAACATTTATTTAATTGTAATGTCGTGTAAAGCTTTCAAAATATTGTACTGAAGTTGAATAACATTTGTATTGAGTATTGACTCCTATATCGTGGAAATGTGTGTAAAAAGTGGATATTAGTGAAGATATTTGGGATAAGAGACAAACAAATTCCTATATTTGTTGACAATAGACACCATTGACTTATTTTCCTTTAGCATGTATTCAGCGGTTGTAATATAATACAAACCAAATGACACTAATTATCGATACATTGAATATTATATACATATTAAGGAAAATATTGCTTATAATTAGTGGTGAATGAAAAGCTGTGTTTAAAATGAATGCTTTGTTTTAATTAGAAATTAAATTATAATATATTTGTATCAAATGTATCCAGAATATACCCCATTTCTTACAGTATAATATTATTAGACTAGATTTTTACACATATTTTTTCAGTTTTAAACTTTTTGGCCTTTTTGGCACAAATTGCTTTAAATTAAATTTAACATTTAGTTAACGTGGTATATTTATGATATAAAATATGTTAAACATTTATTTAATTATAATGTCGTGTAAAGCTTTCAAAATATTGTATTGAAGTTTAATAACATTTGTATTGAGTATTGACTCCTATATCGTGGAAATGTGTGTAAAAAGTGGATATTAGTGAAGATATTTGGGATAAGAGACAAACAAATTCCTATATTTGTTGACAATAGACACCATTGACTCGATTACTCGCAAAAGTTATATAAAACATGGAAAAACTTTTAGCATATTTACGGCATAATCGGGTCGTTGTTGTTGTCATACAATGTCTTATAATGTCTTAACTATATGTGAGAAGTAGTTTATGATTGCTTTTATTACTCCATTCCCACCCCATCTCTCTCTCTCTCTCTCTCTCTCTCTCTCTCTAGATTTGCATTTCTATAAAATTTTAGCATAAAATCAATGCCTACCAAACCATTCAAACAATGTTTCATAACATTTGGCAATAGGATGTCCACACAACTCACCATTAGTTGCATCCAATTGCTCCTCATCTCTCTCTCTCTCTCTCTCTCTCTCTCTCTCGTTGACAATCATTACTTGTTATAAGTGTATGTGAAAAGGGAAACAAACAATAAAATGTGCCTGTTTTCATGGAATCACCAGGACACATTCCACAACACAATGAACATTATGATCGCTATACTAACCGACAGTACAATAGATTGCTATAATCGATGTCAATGTATCCCAAACTTGTAGTTTATTGTATGAGAAAATTGAAATAATACACCTCAATGCATATCAAATACATTATTGTGTTTCAAGAATTACCTTGCTTATTAATATGCGTACAAGTAGTCATATGTATACAGTATACTATTAGCCTAATTTTTGTTATAGTGTTTAAATCGTGATTTATAACTTTTTTAAAACTTTTAAATATACATTTAAAAATATTTAAAACTTATTAGTAAATAAATTAAGATAATTTTTTTTATAAAAAACAAATTTGAAAATTAGACAAATATAAGCTTATTGCAAAATATTAAAATAAAATTTAAACTAATGAAACATATTTTGAACAAATGGATTGATATCTGAATTTATATGATTGTGTGAATTAAACAAATTAACGACACATTTGTATGAATTACATGTGAAATATAATTAAATTAACGTGAATTCTGGAATCGTATGATAAGCTTTCAATTTATGCCAAGAATTCCTTAAATTCTTTGACAACTTATTTGTAAAATAATAGAAAACACTTGATTTGTGTCTATTTATGCGAATAATGTATGAGAAATCAGACAAAATATAGCATAAAGTTCCCATTTCTATAGAATCGGTATATTCTTTGAAATGTATGTCCAGTGCATACAAATAGACAAAAATCAAAGCACAGGTAATATTTAATTTAGAGAGGACTGTATGTTAGAGTTGAATACATTTAATAGATTTTGTAATGTCTTATACTGGGGTTCATTGTGTGAATGAATGCATTGCAATGTCTGACAATCAGTGGATACCTGTGTTGTGGGACTGATAGAGATGTGGGACCAATATATGGCTCATTTGGTCCCTATGTTTGACATACAATGCAATACAACACATGAGTTGCAGTTTCATTACCAGTCATTGTGTGCGTTATATACGAATGAGTGAGTGGTGCACACCATGAGAGGGGCCGGTAGTGCCCGGGATTGGAGGTGCAGATTGAGAGGAGACGGGTGGTCCGACTAATAACACAGACTCACGCTGACGGCACAGGCCTACCAGTGCCGCATATTTCGAGTGGAGTCACGCTGTTTATACACATACCTAAACACGGATCACACTGCATCTCTCTCTCTCTCTCTCTCTCTCTCTCTCTCTAAACAATTTTATCAATCGATTCAATTTTATTTACAGACAAATTGAGTTCATATACAAAATATAAATTGTTTTCCGAACACTACTCAAACAAATG